TGCATCTCCAAATCACCCATTGAGAGGATTTCTGCATCAGGCCAGGCAGGCACTGAATGAATGTAGGAATAGGACAAGTCCTAGCTAGGACTGTTCTGACAGTGCACTAACATCTTGTGTGTGGTGTGAGTGTGCTCACCCACACTAACAGCATGCAGCTCTGAGCAATGTTACTGACAGCTGCATGTCGCGGAGGTTTGAAGTCCTCTGCTTTATCTTGTGGTCTCTTCTGCATGTTGGTCAGCAGCACAGAACATGGCAGTTTGTAGGGACTTCCCTGCGAAATGGACTTTTATTCCCTAACCGGGGTAAGACTCAGTCCGCAGAGGCCTCTGGAAAGTTGAGGGGCTGTTTCATGCCACTGGAGGATGGCAGTCAGTTCCTGACTTGGGATGGCAGCTCCTCTGCTCTGCTCGCCTTTTTAGGTCTCATTGCTGGGGCTGTTAGTGTTCCTTCCAGTGCTGGAAGTACGCTTTGTGCACCAGACATCTCTGACCAGTCGTACGCCTGTAAAGGGCAAACACAGAGAGGCTGCTCTGTGTCCTTGTGATGCTGAGGTTTCTTTAATGCTCAGTGGAGTGGTCATGCTGCACCTCCTATCTTGGCTTCCTGCTGGTTAATCTTTCCCTTCCTTTTCTAGATAGTTATTTTTGGCTGCTGTGATTACCCTTACAGGGTTTTTCCTTGCACTGAGTCACTGTTCTGGGCTGTGCCAAGAGGAATTTTGGCATTGTGGAATAAATGTCATCACTCTTCCTGCTCACAGTTGTCACTAATGGCTTGAGTTTGTGCTGTTGCATCTTGCGGCTTGCTCTCGCATTGCTCTTCTCTGCTGATACTATTACCTTTGTCATTTAGATTAAATCTTTAATCAAGAGGACAAAAGAGACTGCGAATGTGCATCCAATGTATCGTGACCTCTCTCCAAGGCGTAAACTAGGTCCTGCCATACTTCACAAGACTGAGTCCCAAGATCGCTTGATTGAAGAGCTGCAGGACAGACTGGGCATCGCTAAACAGGAGCAGGAAGAGTGGAAAAGCCAGGATGACTGGCTGACAGAGGGGGTCATTATCACTGCGAGACCCGAGGGCAAAGAGCAGAATGGTGGACAGCAAGTAGAGAAGGTAGAAAGCAGGGACGTGCTGGGAAATTCCAGTGTGTCCCTCTGTCCAGACAGCATTGTTTAGGGGTGCAGATTAAGTTTCTGAGTGTCCTAAGCAAGACGAGATGAAGAACTGACTATTTCTACTCACCCTTGTCTGGCCTGAAAAGGGAACTGGCACTCAGGTCCTAGTTCTTGATGTTTAAGAATTGGAGTGGGATCTGAGGGTGCTGGTGATGGTATCTATTTGGGCAGTCTGCTACTATCACATATCAAATGTCCATGTGGGGATTATTTTTAAAACCGTGCCTGTCATAGAGGCATGCTTTGTTTTCCCCAATACTGTACCTGTGCAGGAAGTTCTGGGTGTAAGATGGTGCTCTTCCTTGAGCTACACAGGGAAGCACATTTTCTAGTTCCCTTATCTTTCTCGCTGCTTTTTCCCCTTAGATAAACATAGTGGTAACAACCAGCCTTCCTGTTGCAGGAAGTGCTTATTGGTTCCCCTTTGGATTTATTCACCTTTCTTCTTCCTCCATGTCTTTCTAGGTGGTTTTTCCTCCAGAATCCCCTCTCCCCCCAAGGAGGACGGTCTCTGTTCCAGCCTCTCCCCCGCTCCAGCCTTCCAAAGAAGCTGCAAAGACAGTCCCTGCTAACGCTGCTCCCTCTCATGTCTCTGGCCCTGCACCTCTCCTCCCACTCCCACCTCAGCCTTCCCATGTGCCATCTGCCCCAGCTCCTGGTCCGGTCTCCTCCTCTTCCTTCAGCTTGGCTCCCCAGCCTCTCTTCCAGTGGGAAACTTCTGATGATGATTATCATGAGCTTTCTGTTGTGGGCACCCCTTATTCCTGTTCTCCCCAGACCTGGACCCTTAGCACCAAGACAGTTGTTTCTGTTGGCTGTCAGACTGAAGATGACGCTTTCTTCCCGCAGATGCAGGCAGGCTTCTCTCTTCTGGTTTGTTTTTTTAGCAATGTTTTCCAGTCTAACTACTGCTCCCAACTTGACAGCTCAGTAGATGTAATGTTCAGGTAAAGGCTGGTACTGAACTGCTAGACAGGAGAGAGGACTCATGGGCAATATCTAATCCCAGGGGTGCCTGTCTAGCACTGCAGAATACGTGTCTGTGCGGTAACCTGCTGGTGTGTGTGTGGTTCCTGTCTGTCCTGACAATCGCTTTGTACGGCAGGGACTCTATTTCCCTCTGAGATGAAGAAGGTGGCTCTGAAACACAGGCTACAACTCTCCCTGCCACAATCTCTCTTGAAGGTGGGGGGAGTAAAAGATGGCAAAATCTTGATACTGGAAAGAGCAAATCGGCAGTCCTTCCTGTGTTTGCCCGTTTAGACAGGTGTCCACAGTGTGAGTGGATTTTGGGGAGGAGATGGTATGATCCAGAGCTGTGTTCTGCATCTCCTGTCAGGGAAGGGCTGCAGCTCCAGGATGGTAGGAAGTCTTAATGCGGATGAGCAGTGCAGTGGTGTGCAATGTTATGTGTACAGGCAGCTCGCAAGCAGTGAGCAAGGAAACACCTCTGCATCTTGAACTGTTGTACTTTTCAGGTGACCGCTGCTCCTCCCCTCGTCCGCAGCGCCAATCTGCTGGCTGCTCATGCCCCCGTGGGCCCCCCCGCCCCTGAGAAGGCAGGACCTCCTTTCTGTTTCCTCAGCATGGTGTGCTCTTCTGGTCGATGAGTGTGCTGCAGATGCTGCTAGGATCTGCTCCGAGAGCTCCCAGCGCCATCAGTGTAGATGATACCCTCTAGTGCATGGTTTGCTGCTCATAGAGCTCCTGACGGAACTTGAGTGATGGCAGATCTCATGGGTGAAGGGTGGGAATTTGAGGGGCCTTTGCGTGATGAATTTATATGGATGCTGTGCCGAGCGTCCCCTCTAAACAGCAGTCATTGCGTGCCGGAGGTGGAAACAAACCTCTTTCAGGTGGGGACTCATCTGTGAGCTGTCAGAAGGCTGGATCACCAGGCTGGGTAGAAACTGTAGTGTGCGCAGGTGGTTGTGCCTGCAGTGAGGTCAGCTGTGGCTCGCAGGAGCGCGTGGTCCCTGCAGGCAAGGGTGAAGTGCTCTGTTGCTGCATGTTGAATTCATCTCATCTCCTTTCTCTCCAGATGGTACTTATCATTTGTGTGTGGCATTTGTGCCTGCCCTGCCTGGTAGCCACAAGCCCCTGGTTAGAGTGAGAGGGGACATGGTTCTCTCAACACGGTCCAGCCCTTTTCCTCCTGCTGTGCTGTGCAGGAAGCCCTGGCTTTGTCCTGGGACTCTGGCCTGGCTTTGTTTACAAAGGCCTGTTGTCTCCCTCCTGTGAGAAGTCTCCTTGCAATGGTGTGCTTTGGAGGCAGTCACTGTAACTGGGAGCAAATAATTGCTGCCTGGGGGAGGGTTTGTTTCAGGCTCAGGACACTGGGATGTGTTGGGGCTGCTCTGTGCTGCTGGACTAGGAGAGGTTGCAAGGTATGGGATGGCTGGGAGGAGAGAGGAGGGGAAAAGCTGTGCGTTAGGCTCCGTTGGGAGTTATGCTGCATGCAAGGCAAGGCTGATGAGGAGAGTGTGTATATGTGTGTGTAAAAAAAGCTAAAGTTATGTATGTCATGAGTATTTTTATACAAACGAGTAGAAGCCAGGGTTTGTCATTGAGTAAACTAGTAGACTACAAGTAGAACCAGCTGCAGGATAGGGGATAGAGCTCCTGCTGTGGCTGGAAGGGCAGGTTCTGCCAAGGCTGTGAAGCACTTCAGTGTGTCCCTGCTCCCCTGGCTGTGCTGGCAGCAGGCTGGTGGGTTGTTCACAAGTGTAGATTTTATGTCTGTTTTAATCTATCCTCTTAGTAAGAGAAGATGTGCTCCAGACCAGCATCTCAGGGAGGGACTTCTTTGGGTCTCTCTAAACCTGACAGTAGCTATTGCAATGCAAAGTCAGCTAAGATAATCTGTATTTCATTGTTGAAGTTTGCCTGCAAAGGGGCTTTGGTGGCCAAAAAGAACTTATACTTTGTTTATAAGTTATGAACCTAAGTAAAACACTTCTCCCCCTCCTCCGGGAAGCCTTTCCAAGCCGTGTTTACTGTGGTGGTGTGAGTTTCAGAAACGGCCTCTGAGACGAGTATCTTAATCCCTTCCCCTCCACCCCCATGCATTTCCAGCGGTCCAACAATAGACGTGGCAGTCTTTCCGTTGCAGTCCTGCCTGCTAGGGCTCTGCTTGGATGCACTGCCCTCTCGGTAGGTAAACAGCAGGCAACTTGAAGGGAGTTCTTTCCTTCCTACTTCCGCTCAGGTGTGGGATGAAAGCCACCTGATGGGGGGAAAGGAGACTTTGCAAAAAGATCTGCAGAAGGTGGTGCAAAGGGAGGGAGGGGAAGGGAGAAGATACTCTAGCCGAAAGGGAGGTGAGATGAGGAAGAGGAGGGGGA